TCGTTAGAAATGGGGTTTAATAATTACGATGATTCGACATCAATGAAGTCAATTGAAACTATTTTTATAATTCAGGAAATTGGTTCGTGAATCGTAACTTTGTACGATAAATTTGAACCTGTTTATCTATCGTGACTGCCAACTACGGGTCTATTAAAAAAAGACACGTATGCTGATATGTATGCTAATACGTATGTTATACGTGAAGACACGATACGATGTCAGCAGAAAAAGGAATGGCTGTCATCTCTGAATTATTACAATTTTGACAACATGTATTTTCTGTGTAAATTTTTTTTGCCATGTGACATGCATATGTCGTTTTGACATATTTCATATAAACGTATTCATATAATAGGTTCTTAACGTATTGAATGGTGGTTAAATTTCGCAGCTGATTTCTACATGATAGAATCTCGTTTATATGAACCAGTTAGTATATATACGCACTTATAATTAGTCAATTTATTTTATCTGTATTTGTTTACTAATAAAACTAATAAATACTCTAGTAAGATATGGAGAAAGCTAGTTGAGCTGCTATTTTCTAAATTCCTTGGTATATTTGGACGATTTTGTCCACCGAAGTGTTCGAGTAAAGGTTTCGCTGTAATTATAATTTTTTTAGTGCATATATATATATTCACTATTTCTAATTTCTACAATAAAATCGAGAAAACGATCTATATTTTCAGAACATTTTTCCTTTATTTCTATTCACATAACTCTCTGAAATTTCACTACATAATACTTGTAACACTCTGATAAAAGTAAAAAAAATATATATATATATATATTTCCCTCATAATTAATTATATAATTGACAATATATAATTAACTTTTGTTTTCAACGTATTTATGTTTGACTTTTGCTGTATTTTCTGTACAATTGCATTTCAGTTAGAAAGCATTTTATCTCATTTGAAATTTTGTTTTGTTCAACTGTGACAGAGGATTTTTAAGACACGTTCGGAAACTGTTATCTTCATCGAGCATTGTCAGAAATATTGACTTGTTGCGTCTAAATTCTTTCAAATATTCTGCCCTGTGTTCTCGTTCTCCATAACAAA